AGAGTGGTTTAAATAAATGTATAAAGATGAATGTATGAACATTAAAGTGACCTTAGGATTTTCATGGAATCATATCACAGATTTTATACTTTTAAAGGTCAGTATTTTCTCAGAAACAGAACATCATTGTATTTACAATCTGAAGTTATCTCATAGTTTTCACTGTTAGTGGCGGAGTCCGCCATCCCCCTTTTGTTTTCATACTGCCTACACAGAAAGGGTTCAACAGAAACTAGCCTGTGTGTAGCATGAAATCTGATTGTGGTTAGAAAAAAGCTAATTATTGACAAAAAAAATTTATCAAAACAACTAAACCCAGAAATGTTTTAGTCAATTAATGAATTAGTGACAATTGACCAAACATTTATCTGCAATTATCTGATTATTAGTTAGGCATTATGAGTGTTTTTTTTTTAAGAAAAAATGCCAATATTCTTTTGCTCCAGCTTCTCTAATGTCAATATTTGCTGATTTTCTTAGTCTTTTATAATTGTAGACTGAATATATTTGGGGTGTGGACTGTTGATCAGACAAAACAAGACATTTGAAGATGTCAACTTGGGTTCTAATGGATATTTTTGTCACATTATTTTCTAAATGAATTGGAGTAGCTTAGAGTAGGTACTTTTATCTTCATCATTCACAATAAATGTTATCAAAGCACTTCATGTTACTGTTCTCGCTATAGGCTTACCCCACAATGTTTTCATGTATCCTTAAACCAGAAACATAAATGCATGTTTTCAGAGTCAGACTCATCAAACAAATGCTCGACAGCACATAAAAGGTTTTAACTGAGGAAGTAAGACTTCAACATCTTAACATCTACCAATTTTACATCAACACAAAGTCTATGTTTGGAGTGCAATGCTTGTGTTTCATGTTGTACACCAAAGAGGTGCAATCTTACCAAGTGCTAACCATTAAATATTTTTTTCTATCTTGCAATGAAAGGCAGAACTAACACTCTGTGAATCACCGGAGGTGATTACAATCTGCATAGCCTGCATCATAATTTCCCCACCCAACTGAGTTATAAAGTGGTTGGTATGTTGCAATTTCAGCTCGAGGAGGACTCGAATCTGCGATAGAATCTGTTCGTGTACCTCAGCAGGCTGGATTCCTAGGTGGAGCTGCTCCACTTGTTATTTTTAACATCATGACTTCCAATCTTTTCTCTGCAGGTATTGACTTAGGAAGAGAGCACACTGGAATGTTATTTATACAAACATTTCAGCTCTGGAGACAGAAGTGATGTGTTTGGTAGAGTTGGACCACGGTTTTTCTGAATAAGTCATGTTGAAGATAGAATTTAGATGAAAAAGCCTGAGGAGGTAAAA